GAGGTGATCGTACTGTGGCAGATGAATCGTCGCCAGGATGTACGGGACGCAGTCCTCGAGCCATGCCCAGAACATGTCCTGGTTGTCCTCACCTGGTGCCCACGCCGCAGCACACGGTATGAGCCGGGCGCGGATCATCATCAGGTGCCAGAAAGCAGGGTCCTCCTCGGGTTCGCCCCTATCGCACAGGGGAGTGGTGAGACCCGTAGGGCAATAGCGGGGCACAACAGCGGGGCTGAAGCCGCCACTGTGTGCCTGGCCTATGCCGCACGGACCCGCGGCAACGGTGCCGTTCACGATCGAGTCCAAAATGGTGCAGTGATTGTACTTGTAAATGCTGTCATCGTAGAGGTAGAAAAGGGTCCCACGTTCAGCGTGTCGCAGGAGAATCCCACCTCCATGCTGGGGCGCACCGCCTGAAGACGGGTGTGCTCCAGCGAGCGAGGGGAGGGCCAGGCTGCAGGCAAGGCGCCACATGATGGCGAGGCCTGGCGGGCGGCGCGAGCAATGAGCCAAAAGCTGCATGTCAGCACGCATCCTCAGATACCCCTGCATGCTCATGTACATAGCAACAAACACACCCACAGCAAGATGACAGGTGTCCCTACACCAGATAGCTTGCTCGTGCTGCTGCCAAAACTGACATGATATGACAAGAAAGAGGTACGACGCGAAGAGAGAAGAGATGCCTCTGAAGGCGCTTCCTCGGAGGGCTGAGGCAGGCTCTCTGAGGCACCTTCAATAGGGTTCCTGAGTGGCCCGACCCTTGTCTTTGCCTTTGTCAGCCCCTGGGCCCGTCCCTGGGGTGACCTGGCCTGGCTGGTCAATCCACCCGCAGACAGCCACGGGGTCGGCAACTGATGCAGCTTCCTCCTTTTTTGTTTCGAGGGTGGCCACCTGAGGCAGGTGGATGGTGCCCCCCGTGAGGTGCCCGAGGAGGGCCTGGATGTCGCCACGCAGTGCAGCAGCTTCAGTGGTTGCCGTCTGTTGCTGGGTGACGACGGTGGCAAGCCCTCGTTCCAAACCTGAAACGTGCTCCGTGAGTGTGGCTTGGGATGAGAGAACGCCCGCAAGCTGAACCTGCATGTTATCCACCGTGTTGGCAAGCAGCTCGTGCTGTTGTTCCATGTGTTGGATGCGGGTCGTGGCGGCATCTGACAGTTTAGGGGCCGTTGCGAAGCGTTCGCCGAGGGTGTTCGGTTCGTGAGATGCCACGCTGAATTCATCCCCTGATGAGAGGATCTCAACGTCGTCAGCGTCGCCTGGTACCTCGGCGGCTGTGGCAGCGTCCCCTTCCGTGTGGCCCCCGCCTTCAGCCGCCACCGTGCCAAGTTGCGGGTCATGTCCACCTGGTCCTTGGACGGCCGTCTGCTCGGCAGCTCCATCCGTGCCGTGCGGGGGTGCAGAGGAGCTGCGGCCTGGGGCGCCGTGTGGTCTTACGTGCGGCGTGGCGTTGCGTTTCCCACTGGAGGATCGGTGGCGCTTGGCTAGAGGCTCCTCCTTGGGGATCGGGAGCAGTGCGACGCCCTTGCCTTTGGGCGTGGCAGTCATGAGGTCATGGAGGTAAGGGCTCTGGGCCGCTTTGGTTAGGAGTGTGCCCGTGGCGGGGCTGAAGCCGCCACCACGGGCTGGCGACGTCGCAGGCTCTGTGATAGTGGTAGGGGTGACAATGGTAACGTTGTCCCTCTTCGGCACCACCTCAGCCAACGGGGCCTCGGTGATGCTCCACGGGATGGGGCACCCTGCGACCTGTACCGTATATGTGGGTGGGGGACGATGGGCGCGCACTAAGGCAAACTGAGCCGAAGTGGCTGGGTCCCAGGCGGTGTGGTAGTCCTCACAGTCCCATTTGACGGACGGGCCCGTGAGAGTCTTAGCAAGCTGGGTCAGCGTGGCGTGGCGTGCCGCAATGCCAGTGATGCGGTATTGCGTCTTGGCGAGGGTGGCTTCACAGCCACGGATGCTGACGGCAGCAGCCTTGGCGGCGTCTGACCCTCGTGCAACACGGATCCCCAATAAGCCTGACTTGCCGTGCCTGACGACTCCTAGGGCCTTGAAGTCCACCGACTTCTGGAACGCCTCTGCCATCGTGATGGGCTGGTCCTCAGGGAACCACACGGTCTGGTACTTGTCTGCAGTGGGCTCGTCTGCACCTACGTTGCTGAGGTCGTAGGTGGCGCCGAGTTGCCCTGAACCCGCCAAGACCTGGTCAACCGCTTGAAGACTGACGCCGAAGGTGGCAGCCAGGGACCTCTTTCCGACGCCCGATCCATACCTGCCTAGGCTTTTGCAGGGTTCGAGGATGGTGACGGCTTTAAAGTTGCCGTGGAAGAGGGCCTTGAAGGTGTCCTGGAGCTGACTATCGAGCTCCTGACGGCGAGCGTCTTGCTTGGACTCCCTGTGCTTTTGGTTTTGGCGCGCCTTGTCCTGTGAGGCGGAGTCCCTTCGGAAAGGACCCTTGGCGCGTGGACCACCGTTCACGGGGGCACCTCCCGAGAACTGATCCTCGAAGGCCTGATGCATGGACGGGGCTGCGGCGATGGCCTCGGTTTCATGTATGGTCACCCGAATCCAGCATACGTGGTCGGCAGGATCGATGGTGGCGACGGCTACTTTTTCCGTGCAGGCGACTTCCTTGGTGCCCAGCTGGTACACGGTCACGGGGACGTGCGTGTGGACCACTTTGGGCGCCTTGGGGTGACGCTTCAGCACGGGGGCGGCGAGCTCGGTACCGACGTAGTTATCGTTTTTTGGGCCCATGACAGCAATCGCAAGCTGACCCGTGGTGCGCTTACCCTGCTCAAGGTGGTGCTGCAGCAGCCGTTCACCGCTCTCGTAGTCGTGGAGGCTGATACTGGGCTTGTACGTCTTGCCGTCGTCAAGTGATGCGGGTTCGGCCAGGACTGGGACCTTCCAGAAGGCCGGGTCCAAGGCAATGAATTGGGCGCCCGCAGCCTGAAGACGTGCGGACGCAGCTGGTGGGTGTGATGTGTCACCACCAATGCGCTTAGGCTTGCTGCGCTGGTGGTGATCCAGCGTGTAGCTGATCTGGTTGGCGGCACACATGCGGATCAAGGCACTGCCGAGCTTCTTGGTGTTGGTCTTGTGCATGTCGCACGTGGCCTGCAGCTCGTCCGCGCTCAGCTCGGCGAGCCCGTTGTATGCGGCCGTGGGGCGGTCAGACCCCGCTTGCTTGAAAGCTGCAATGCAGTCCTGCTTGCGTTGGAGGAGGGACCCTTCAGCTGCAGGACGTGAGCTCGGCGGCTGCTTGGAAGAGCGACGGCGCTCCGGCTTGCCGGGGGCCATTGCGGCGGGCGCTCTGGTGGGTAAAGAGGTGACGCGAATCAGTAGGGTCCTGCTGGGACCCCTCCGGTCTCGCGAGGCCTGGGAGTCTGACTCCGAGGCGGGGCGCTTCGCGTCGCGGCTGCGGTCTGAGTGCAGGGCACTCTCGAGCCGAGACTAAGAGAGAGAGCGAGAGAGAGAG